CAGTTTCCGGATTTCAAAGAGGGGGGTCCAACCTCCCGGTTTTAGCCCTGATTCCCTGAAAACCGGAAGTAGGACATCCTTCGAAGGGTCCCCAGATTGGAGAGGGTGCAAGCACAGGGCTGAGGGACACCCCCCACCCTGTGCATGAATTTCATTCCCCCGGGCCCACTATTTATTTTAATGGAAGAGTAGGAAGTGGAACAAGATTTTTTGTTGTTATTGCTGTGGAGGGTTTTTGTGGGGGTTTTTTTCTGAAGCAGAAGTTAGAATCAAGGGTTCAATTTTAAATGTGTATAAACCTGATATCTGAAAGAGTTCCAATGGGGGGTTGTAAAATGGTCAGTTAGTCAAGTTGATTCTGGATATCAGAAGTGAGTTCTAGGATGGCTATATAAAATTGAAAGTTGTGGGAATATGTTAGTACTATAAAATCATAGAAACAGAAGACAGCACCTAACATCAGAGTAACTGAATTAGAAAAGAATTCAAGAATGGGCCATTAGGCCAACATTTATAAGCTGAGTAGACAAATCAAGAGCAAGTAGAAAAGACTGAAAATAATGGTCAAGATAAAACACAAAAGTGTTCAAAGAAGTAATGGGAGATTAAAGCCCAAATATCAGTATTAATATTGAGTGGCCCAGCAGGTGTGGCTCATTTGGTTGAGAGTCATCCCATGCACTAAGAGGTCGCTGGCTCGATTCCCAGTCAGGGCACATGCCTGGGTTTTGTGCTGGATCCCCAATAGGGGGACATGTAGGAAGCAGCCGATAGATGTTTCTCTCTCTCTCTCTCTCTCTCTCTCTCTCTCTCTCTCTCTCTCCCTTCCTCCCTCCCTCCCTCCCTTCCCTCCCTCCCTCCTCTCCCTTCCTCTCTCTCTAAAATAAAAAAAAGCATTTTAAAAATATATCCTCAGGTGAGTATTTAAAAATAAAGTAAAATAATAATAAGAGTGATTTTAATAAAATAATTCAAATAGCCCTGTCTAGTGTGGCTCAGTTGATTGGGCACTGTCCTGTTGCCCAATCAACCGAGCCACACTGATTGGGCAAGTTGCCAGTTTGATTCCCAGACAGGAGGGCACATGACCAGGTTTTGGGTTGGATCCCCAGTAGTGTGCGTGCAGGAGGCAGCAATTGATGTTTCTATCTCACATCTATGTTTCTCTCCCTCTCCCTTCCTCTCTCTCTAAAAATCAATAAAAAATATATTAAAAATAAATAAATAAAATCATTTAAATAATATCAAGGTATTATTTTAATAATTTACATATTGTGTGATGCTTTATGTTATTTTGTCTTCAAAAAAGATTAAATTATAAAAATAAAAGTATTATGAGTTCCCTTAGGGAATTTAATTAAATTTACATTCATAAACTATTTTCTAGATGACTAATATATTTATTTAGTAAATACCACTTAAAATTATAATTATTATTCTAATTTAACTGAGTCAAATAAACAAAGCATAATAAAGTCAAAATTAAAATTCAAGCTATTATAAAGCCTCTAATTAAGGGAATCTTAAAGGGTTTTTCAGATTTTGAATCTGTATAAACATTCTTTCTAAGAATTGGGTAAACAGAAGAACAGTGCCAAAAGGAAAATACAACCATGGAAGGAAAGATGGGAAATTATACAAAACACTTTGTATCTTAATTTCTTGAACTACCTTGCACTAGCAGCATCTCATATTTTCCTTTTTTTAAAATAGGGGAAAGCACGAACACAAGTCCCCCACTTCCACAAATTATACAGTT